AGTAATCACTGGAACGGGCCACTTAATTTTATTAGTTCTTAGTTGTAGAGAAAATGTTAAGGTGTATTTACCTTACATTTTCTCCACAAAGAAATAAATCGTTCAATTCTCTTAGTCTGTCTCAGGGTTTGTTGAGCCTTTGATCCAGGAAACAATCTGTTAATTACCCTCTGTTTTAACTGAAATGTTATTTCAGAATGTTGTATATTTTATAACCAAACTCAGTAACATAGATAAAGATAAAAAACAGTGAACACGATGATATTTTTATAGTCGTAATAAATATTGAAGATGTCTACATAAATTCCATCCAAAATGTTTTGAAATGATGGAACGAATTTTTCAAAGGTCCAGCAAAAAGGACATTTGGAATAACCTTCTTCTGCTACAAATTACATCATCTATCACGGCGCCCGATGTTATCGTGGCCTCTTAAAAATGTTATTGTGTATCTTATCTCAAGGACATAAGAACTATTTTTATTTCATTAATTTTTCGTTGAAATAAAACTTATTAGTCAGAACCGAGCGAACTTTCTCAGAGTTATCAGATCATTTTTATCATTAGTTCGTATTAGATTATTTAAGACAAAACAGTATGTATGATAGAACTTTATTTTAATGTATACTTTTGTGATTAAAGAGTTAATACTATGGTATTGTAGTTGAGACTGTAAATCTCAAATGTAAAAACTGTGGTATGGAGTTCGAAAACACCTCACAACCATGGATCAGTTCGAGTGATTGATATGCCTGATGCCGCTAATGCCCCGCAAGATTGATCTCTCCTTTAAACGTGAAACGATGCGACGGTGACGAATACGAATTTAAGCAGCTTATGATTAATATATGCTAAGTGATTCGCTAGTTGAATTATTATTTATGGAGCGTACTCTACCTATTTCATGATACGATTAAGTGAATATGGAATAATAAAATGATTAACGCACTTATTATCATTTTAAATAAACTATAATGATGATAGTATCACATTATTTTCTTCTATACTGAGATGGGCTAATTTCTTTATCATCACACTTTTATCCAGTTTTTATTTACGAATGGTATAACATAACAATTTACGAAGTAAATGTGTTATAATAAGTGACCCATCAACCCCATTAAAGCTAATTAATGACATGATTTGATAACCAAATATATTTGTAATAGACAGTTCCCCACAATGTGACATTATAAGCTTTATAATTATATTGCTCCAAGACACTGTTACTAACTCATTAAGTACATATTTTAAACACTCAATAAATTTTCACATATCATTTGATGTTGACAAAATGTGCTAAAAATGATGAAGTACCTAATATTGCACGAAATAATAATGATTGATTCGTCTTTCGTCTGTGAAAGGAAATGACGTCATTAGTAATTTCCCTGCATTTAAGACGTTTACACTCGAATGATTTACAATGTTGGGATATTTACAATAAGAGTACTAAATGTGTGAACATATAGTATAATTTTCATTGTTAAATCCATCATTTGAAGTGGTTATTAATATAATATATGACTGTTATAATATTCACATTATAATAATGCTATTGCAAGCAGTAATTGGAACTAGTATAGCAGGAGTATATAACTCGTGGCTTGGCCAGCGGTCAACTAGTTAAAGCGTATAGTGTAAGGAACGTGTTCAGCAAATTCATCATTGATACAATTATAATAGAACGTTACACTGTCTCCTAATGTAATACCTATATGGATTGTAAATATTATTTTTAATGGATTGAAAAACCCTTTATATTTTACTTCTAGTCGAAATCACAAATCGAAAATATTCATACCTTAAAGGCAATGAAAACCTAAATCTTTTTCTTGCTTATTAATTATTATTAGACTAGCATCTAATATAGTGAAACATATTTTCGTACAACAGATTTTAGTTATATTGTTCTCGTTAAACTTAACTCTGTTATGAAATATCTAAAAACGTCAAACAGGAAAATCCACGAAAATATAACAATTGCACTTTCTCTAGATATAAATTTGTAAGCCCTACTTGACCTGCTTGATGGCATCGTGCAAACCCTATTACAGCACTAATCCTCTTACTGCCCCGACCCTTCAAAGTGTTTTGCTCCATTTTATGATAAAACTGGAGTTCATGAAAATTTGACAAAAAATAATCAGACAAACAGAGAATAAATGGTTTTTATTCCTTTAATTTACTTCTAAATTAAAGGAATATTATTTTTGGCTTATTTACCAAATAATTTAATTGTATTACATAATATTAAAAATATATTCATATACTTTAATTAAAATTGTGATATATCAAGCTTTCAGCAAATATCAAATAGTTGTTTTCGAATTAGTGAACAAGCATAAAAGTTTTGTACAAAAATCAATAATAAAGACTTACAGCTGAAGAAAGTGCAATTAGGTTGAATTAAGAGTGTTTGAAAAGAAAATCTTTTCAGTTTGTTGATTTTACTTCAACAAGCAATTGAATCTTGTATAGTATTAAGTTGGGTTGGTTTTTGAAATAGAAATTTTTATTTAAAAATATATATATAATTGTTGAGAGTTTAAATTATTTCCTACATTTTTGCAAGAGTACAACGTAAATTCAAGGATGGATTCATCCACAAAATTCCTAAAAGATATAAAATTTACATTTCCCGAGCGAGCATATCTTATTATAAATGCGAAGAATTTTTCGTAATGTTTCTCATTTTCAGTTTTAAAATGTTTTTCAAAGTACGACATAAACTGCTTAGTTAGATCTATACTTTATTTTTAAACACTTCTTTATTTTTTTAGTTGATTGAGTCGTCATTCAAGGATCATACTCGTAATCGTCTTTGGGAGTCCAGATAAAACATATTTTTTACAAATGTTTCGATATAAAATGCTAGAAGACTTTTAATATTTTATTTCCTTTACGATAACTCTTCTTGATTTTAAAATTCATTGCAAATTTCATCAATACTTAAGCTAATTCTGACATTTTCCTCTAAATTCTGTTTAAACATTTATTTTGTATAATATTTTAAATAAATTACTCAAACAAAATGTTCTACAAAATAATATTAACCGAATTAAAGTATAAAACTGCCTTCCCTTCCACTGTTTAACTTGCGTAATTAGTTGATAGACCCTCTGAATAGAAACAGGATAGGTTGAACACAGACCAACTTGCTGTCATGTAAAACTTTTAAATATCCATACAGACTAAAATTATATGTTCTTATATATCAAAGAATTTCATATTAAATATTTATTTTTATTTCATTCTACTCAATGGATGGTTTAAAAAGACTCCATCAAGTTTTATGTCTTTTGGAACCTTTAATTGTAGTATACAGATTAGGTTATATTAAAAACAGTGTTTAAATTTTCAAGTAGACACAAGCCAACGCAATGTTCTGCCAGAATCTGTGTGGTTTTTAATTTGTTCCTTCTACAATTAATTTTATAACACTGATATCTAAAATAGTTATTTTAATGTTATTTAAAAATCTTTCTGGACAAAACCGTTTCAGTAGAACAATAAAAAAGATTTTCACGACGAAATCCGATAATTTATGGCATATCATATATATCCCTGATAAACTGAGATTTTCGGACTTTTGTATTGATAAGAATCAGTAGTCCTTGAGGTAACATTTATGGCAAGATGCGACAAAAGAAAACTTGTCGAATATAAAACTAATTTATTATTTTTTTTATTTCATTAAAATAAATTATTTTATTTTTTTGATACATAAATGAAATTAACGAAACTCTTAACCGCGCAAGATTTTATTTGTTAAAAATATTTCGAAAACTTCGACTAATTCCTTAAATTTCTGAGGATAATTAAAGATTAAGTAACTTTTACTGCACCAGAGTCTACAACGCTATAGCGTCATAATTAAAAGGGGATTAAGTAACACTGCCATAACTTCCTGCAGTAACCGCGGAGCTAAACTCGCAGTCAGACTGTGTCCTCATTGTTAACGGATAAATTGAACCAAGTACTTTTAATGCTTTGTAAAATTATTACCTTACCTTACCCTAATTAGAATATTTTCTTGGAATGAAAACACAAATAAAGTCTTTAATATACAGGGTGACTGGTGAATTACTATCAATATTTAAGGAGCATACTCGGTACATGATTCTCATTCGAATTATGTAAAAAAAATAGGTACTTAATTTTTGACAAAATTTCCGTATAAATAAATAAAGTGTTGACACGTTCCAAGTGTTCCAAGTGTGGACGCGTGCGGCGGCGTGCTGATACAACACTACGCCGCCGCCGCGTCTGTGTGAGTGTGTGTGTATACCTAATCTGTAGGGTGTTCATACGATGCGTAATTAATTACATAACTTTTGGTTAACTTTACTTAGAAGTTTATTAATATTTATGTTATATTAATTTTTATTCTGTCATATATGATCGTCAAATATCACGTCCTCAAATATCGATAGTAATTCACCAGTCACCCTGTATAGGAACAAAATAATTAAAAGATTTTTTTTTCTCATGGGAGCCAATATAAATGTAATATTTATAATTTTATTATAGTTTTTATGTTATGAACACTGTCTAAATATCAGGATCAGACATATTATAATTAATACATATCTTCATAGTCTAACTACAAGTTTTTATAAAATATTATTTTCAAAGACATGATTATTATAAGGTAAAAGTACCAGTAGATGACCACTTAAGGAGACAGAATATTCCTTTAAATGTTTGACTTTAATTATCATATGAATTCAGTAAGTTTCTTTTTTGGGAAACACTGTGAAAAGTGTTTTAACATATGAACAAGTATTTCACCACGTAAAATGGACGAATAAAATTAAAATTAATTAAAAATATTCTAATGTTAGAAATTTAGTAGTTGACCATCTAAAAACTAGAAGATGACCATGTTTTGCATCAGTAGTTGACCACTCAGATGCTACAATTTTAATTGGGTTATTTGTTAAATAAAAAGCAAAATAAGACGAAAAGAAAATGTTTTATTTGAAATATAATAATAATTAGGCCTGGACACTATCTTCCAACTCCTTATACACACGTTTGTACCATTCTGATAGGTGATCACCTGTTACCTTGGCTCTCGATGCTGTCAAATTTTGTGATATCCTCTTGGAAATTGTTGGATTTCTCCGAATAAAGGCCTTTACCCATGTTCTACCTGGTCTTCCATGCTTGAATAAGACACATGGACGTTTTATTTCCTTTAAGTATTTATCTACACTCACAATTAACTGTTCGGTTGTCACAGGAAAACCGCTTTTGCCATTTTTTTGCACCCAGTCGCATATTTTATGCTCCTCTTCTGGTGTAAGGATGGATATCGGACCCATTTTTCGTTCCATCGGTGACTTCCCTTTTACTTTATTTGTAAGCGTTATTTTTGGTACACCGAACTTTTTTGCAGCCGTTCGTATTGGTGTTTTATGAAGACGAACATCGTTCACTGCTGCAAGCATTGCAGCTTCAGTATAATTTAGGAATGCGCCCCTTTTCCCAGGCATCTACAAGATGAAAAATTGGTTTTAGTAATAAGTAGACCATAGCCATAAATTTGTACCATACAGTTAGTCAACTACTAAAGAAAATCAATATATTGTTAAAGTAAATAAAATAGTTTATTTTTTAACATATAACAGCATATTTACAAGATACAGAACTTAATCAAAAGTTGACCACCATGGTCATTTACTAGAAAATCATAGTCAATCGGTAATTCGGTAATGGACCACCATGGTCAATTACTAGAAAATCATAGTCAAACGGAATTAGTATTGGACCACCCCCACATCTCAATTTTGTCAACAAATCTTCAAATTTTAATTAGCCTGTCATATAAATAAACCTTAAACGAATAAGAAACGAAAAACACTTACCGTCAACAAGGTGACAAAGTTCCTAGTATTTAGCTTCAAACTTTTTCAATCTTTGCGAATATTATAACAACAAACGAATTTATTGCTTTTATGGTCCGTCACTCAACAAAGAACTGGCAGCCACTTTCTATATTTTACAGATATGGATGCGCAATTTTCGCGCTTAGTTGACCAGATAGCAGATCTGACTACTTATTAACGAATGAGTTTTAAAAATTGCCGCGAATTCTTATTATAACGGTTTATGTGCATTAGCGGTCAACTACAGGTACATGGTCAACTACTAGTGAGTTTACCTTAATTGTATTTTTATAGTGTAAATATCTCTATTTTATTATTTTTATTAAACACACTATGGCATAGAATCTGTCTCAATACTGTTTGAAATTATTTAAATAATTAAAGAGGTCGATAAAACTGTTCACCCCGGGTGTAAAACTGGTCTCTCACAAAGTTTGCACATCAATTAATAGAATCACGTTAAAGATACGTGACGAGGAAAAAGTATTTTTTCAGGTGTCGTAATTTATAAAATCAGATAAATTTAAAGGTTTTTTTTAATTTATAGCTTCTAAAAATGATTTTTACCACCGGCTAAAAAAGAGGGTTGTTGTAAATTATGCGTGTGAGTGCGTGTGTGTCTGCATGTGACATTGAAGCTTATAAACGAATTAACTGGTTTCGAAGTAGTATTGTTTATTTGAAAGTCAGTTTCTTTGCACTGGTTCTTGTATATTTGATTATAACGCATATAATTAGTTTGTTTTATTCAATAAAATTGTGTCATATATGTGTCTGTATCATCTCGTTCAGTTTTTACTGTTTTTCACTATGATACAGCAATGTAAAATATTTCAAAATTTTTCTTGATTGATTATTACTTATAAAATTTATTTTAAAATGGATTCATTTGTGATAAAGCATAGCAAAAAAAGGTTAGTAAAATGTTGTTTTTAACAAAAGTTACGATTATAAAATAACCATTTTTTATATTTCTACTTTTGAATAAATAAATTTATGTGCCATATAGTAATATATTTTATATTATGTTTTAATATTTAAGGTATTTTCAAAGAATATTCTATAAAAGTTAAATATAAAATATACTATTTACTTAAACTGGTACACGGCTGTAATGTAGCGTTTTTGTGTTTATATAGAAATCTACATTTCAATTGATCATTAAAACAAAGTGCTCCAAGTTTATAAATCGAGCTGACGTCAAATTTGAAAGTTTGTGTCATTTAAGTGAATATGTGTAAAGCTTGCAGATCGTTAGAATTTGCATAATTACTCAAAGTTGAGGTAATCTATTTCATTAAACGATAGTATCACTAATGTATGTTTGTTTTAGATATTTGCCATATTAACATATTCTAGTACTGTTATTTACTCCTATCTTATTTAATGATTAAGAAATACATAAAGCATAAATATTAGTATAGTACCTACATGCAAGAGATGCCTTATTAGTAACTTAATCACTTAACAATTTGCTTCATTATATATATATTTTTAATGTTAATAAAGTACGAAAAATTTAAGTTTAAGAAATAAAATTTCTGAAAACCAACAGCGAACGGAGGCACTTATTAATTTTGCGCCGCTTGTTTTAGTTCTACGCATTCTGTAGATTTTGTTTTAATTACTGATTCAAAAAATGAAAAAAATTCTTTCCACCAATAATATTTTATTTATTTTATTTATTGTATATTTAAAAAATAAATCATCTGAGAATGTGACAAATTATATGATTTTTTTTAATTACTACTAATTCTTTGACTGGTTTTCAAGTCTTTACTTGTTACTTTATAATCTCGGGTACTCGACCAAATTACATATTTAAGAAAAGGACTAAATAATTACTATAACATAATACATTATAAACTTTTATTTTATGAAATTTTATGTATACTAATAATACAATAGACTATATAGACACATATAAAAAATTCAAACTGTAAAACATATTTTATTTAAAACTTTCTTGAAATGTATTGAAACGTCAGTAGGAAATACACTAAAAAGCAGTAACAAACCATGTTTCATAATTCTTTTTCAAAACAACTTTGCCTCGTGTTACTTTGAGGTCTCTCAAGAACTATGTAGATTAATCTTACTTCACAAGGTAACTAAGTAAGAAAAAAAAAAAACAAGGAAAAACTGATGTTAAAATGTATCAAAATTGTTAGTTTGATTATCTTTAAATTACCTGGGATTAATGTAGTAAAGCCAAAAAAAAATGGTCTACCCTTTACAGTATATTTAACTTTGATATATAAAAAATCATTGCTTGTGACAAATAAAATTTTGTTGCTCAAATATTGGAGTTATATTTGATTAAACTTTTATAGAAAACAAATAACATCGTCATGGATTGTATTGAATATCAAACAGAAACTATTCTATTAACTATATAGCTTTTTCTATGGAACGTTCAATATTTTTATACCTTTTCTATACATATATTATTTTATTATTTTTATCTCTTTAACCAAATCCGTGTTATTAACTTTTCAAATTGACCTACTTCTACTCAGGAACTAAGATACTTGTAGGATAATTAATTAACATAGAATGAACTTCCTTATAATAAACATTAAAACTTATGCATTATCTAAAGTTACCTTAAGTTTATAATAACCTTACCTTTATTATATAAAAAATATAATATAATAGGTGGAATTATCAAAAAACCATTAATACTTTTCTTTCCTTGTACAAGACAAACAGATTATTATTGTATTCTATTTTCACATAGCTAAATCATTTTTAGAAATGGCTTTAAAACTATTCAGATTTAAATATTGCCCTCTGTTAATAAATATCTATTTGATCTTTAATTTCTGACAGTTATCAATGTTTGAGCTATTTATTTGTGTCTCAATACACAACATTTAATATCTAGTATTTTGTATGCACGGTTTTATTTTTATATTTATAACTATATTTTAAGGGACAATTGATAAAATACTAAAAAGATAAAAATTTTACTTAATAATTAATTGACTTAAAGTTTTCATACATTTCGAAAATGAGAGAGTTAATAATTTTTGTTCGTTTAGAACGCGGAGGGCATTGTTAAAGCTGCACCTGCAAAATATATTTAAAGTTCTCTCTAACTTTTAATTATAAACGTTTAAAAACGCGTTATTTTTATTGCAATGATATCAAACATATAATCTACACATCATTAAATTCAACAATTTCAATATAAACATACTCAAAACAATACCTAAGATATTGCATATATCACAACTTAATTGAAACTTAGGTTTTTGAATACTACGTGTTCTTATTATTTTATAAATATATCCCGACGATAAGGTTTCCTTACAGTTAGTGTGATGACGGGGAGACGAGATGAACCCTGTCTAACAATTCTAACATAAAATTATATGATTACTCCGAGTTTAGGGTACTTGTACCATCCTATTGTTTCTATGGAGTCGCAAATTTTCTTCTTCACCTTTCCAGGTGTTTTTTCTATGGATTTAAGTCCTTACATAATATTTTATCCATATAAAACTGGCTCCCCGATGATGAATCTTAAATTTTTAGTACCGGTTTCGCTTACCTAACACTGTTATCAATGTCTTCAATTATAGGAGAAGTTATGACAAAATATAATACATGTCACTTAATTTCATGAAGCATATAAAAAGATGTTATATAATATATAATAATGTGAAAAAAATGATAAAGTCGAAAGTTGATTATTATTTTTATTTTATTTATTTATCACTGTGCGAATGATTTCGCATATAACAATGGAAGTTGACTGAAATATTAAAACCAATTGGCAGAAAAAATCTTTTATAATATTTTATTGCTGTAACTGAATTCATTAATTTGTAATTACATATATAGTTTTTTAATAAGATTCTCAGCAGAACTAATCGCAAAAGTGTATCCGAAAACAATGTTTTCGGACTTTAACCATTCCTTTTTATAACCTTCTCCCGAGTTCTCAAAGTGGTTAATTTCTTTGTAACATAAAGTAATTTCTGAAAATAATTAAAGTAATTAATCCTCTTAAGTAATAGAAATTACTATACGGCCTCAATATATTAATCCGTAAATCCTTTAATATCGCCACAAATCACACAGCATTATCCCATTAAGGTAAAAGCCATAGCTCATGTATGCTATGCTTAATTATTAAAGGACCTGTAATTGAATTAGTTTTTAATAACCACATACTTATATGTTAATTTTGTTACCCGCAATGGAAAGGAGCTATAACCATTTAGAGCGAGTGCGCAAATAGTAAACTACTATTAAAAATCTATTCCTCTATATACGTTTTGTAGCTATTCTCCGGGTTCACACTAAAATTTTAGTACAAAAGAATGTAAAATGAAGAAAAAATAAGGGTACACATATGAATAGCACCTTTATTTTTTTTCTTGTAATACGAGGTTTATTGAAGCCAAGGATATAGAACCCATACATGTGATGATGAAAGCAGTGTGATATGTTAATAATGTGTTTCTCTAGATCAATTCAGGATTAGAAGTTCAAGTATCATTTGTCAGATAAAAAAGTTTTCTTTGATGGTATCAACTACAATGTTATCTATCTTTAAGTTACAAAATGATATCATAACCTCAAAAGGACTATTTTAT